CTCCTCCTCCTCCTCCTCCTCCTCCTCCTCCTCCTCCTCCTCCTCCTCCTCCTCCTCCTCCTACTCTTCCTCCCTCTCCCTTTCCCTCGTGCACCGCACCAATCACAGGGGCTGCCCATGCTGGGGGTGCTGGCATCAAATGCGGCCCCTTCCCCCGCTCGGGCGGCAAGGAGGAGGAGGAGGGGAGGAAAGAGGACATGAAGGAAGAAGGAGCAGGGGAGGAGGAGGAGGAGGAGGAGGAGGAGGAGGAGGAGGAGGAGGAAGAGGAGGAGGAGGAGGAGGAGTTGGAGGAGGAGGACGAGGAGGACGAGGACGAGGAGGAAGGAGGTTGCTTCCTCCGTCTTTCTCCTCCCCTCCTCCCCCTCCTTTACATCCTCCTCCTCCTCGCACCAGGCCGCATGCGAGGAGGAGGGGGGAAGGTGAAGGGGCGGGGTGTGCGCCTGCCGTACAGGTCGGGGGTTCCGGGAACACGATCTACACTTCCCCGTCCGTAGAGTACGCGGCCCACCCGGCACGAGCCCCAGCGCACCCCTCCCGAGCTGGCCAGATGAATTTTGAGGGCAAGGGTCGAGGAGGAATACATGCATGGACATCCGCTGCCAGAGGCACGCACGGATTCTCGCGGATCTTCTCAGCAGCTTTCTCAAAAGCCTCCCAGCCCTCCCAAGAAGGCCGCTGCCTGCGAGCACGCCTTGTGGCTTCTTGGACTCCTCCCTCCTCCTCCTCCTCCTCCTCCTCCTCCTCCTCCTCCCCTCCTCCTCCTCCTCCTCCTCCACCTCCTCCTCCTCCTCCTCCATCCCTGCCCTGGCGGATCGGCGTCCGTCGGTTGGCGGATCGTGCCGACCCCTCCTCGGGCAGCGGCCCCCCTGGGCCGCCCGGGTGGGCGCAATTTTCTCGGACGGGCCGCTCTGTGCAGCTCGGCGGCCTCGCCCCCCCCCCCCCCCATCGGCTCGGGGGTGGACAGAACCCCCAACAGTGACACGTCGATTAGTGAATTGTCCGTGTTCGGTTCTCTAGAGGGCGCCGTGGCCGTTATTTTCCAGGCTTGCGCCCGCCAGGTTTGGGCCTCAGGTCGTTTTCACTAAACCACGTTTTACTAAAGGGGGGTCTGTCCACCCCCTCCCGGCTTGCCTCGCGGGCCCGGAATGTGTCCATTGTATTATGTTTAAGTCGGGCGTGTCCCCTCTACAGGAGGAACATTCAAACATAGTTTGAAAATAGTCCGGGGACGATTTGTTTCCCCATTTTGTCCATGTGGGAGCATGTTTGACAAGTGTTCCTTTTTCCTCCAAAATCTACATGTAAAGGGCCATGCCCGGCCTAATAGTATACTGTGAGGTCTGGTTCCTACGCAGTGGCAGATGGCGGCCCAAAGACACAGCGCCTAAATGTGTGTGTGTGTGTCCGTTCTTATCGCCCAGAGAGCCTGTCATGTTCCTGTGATGTACGTTGTTATGTGGCGTTCTTTAGTGTGCATACACGCGGCTTCCATCCCATTACCTGCCCGATAGCTTTTCAAGAGCATCTCGTGAGCCCATCGGGACCCTCTCTCTGGGCCTTCCAGATGGGGTCCGAGTAGATGGGGTCGGAGGATCGCGCTGTATCGCCAATGCGACTCGATGTGGGGCCAGATTCTCTCCACGCCGACGTCGCCGATGCGCCGCCGACGTCGCCGATGCATCGACGATGCGGCGCGATCTTCCGGCGCCATCTATTCGGACCCCATTTGGGAGGCATCTATTCTCAGGACTTTCTCATCGGGACGATCGAAGTGGCTTCTGAAAGAATGGGCACAAAGTTCGATATCTCGGTGTCGCCGCGGACGTTGTCCATTTGGGGCAGAAGGCCGCCTGCCCAACGGCGGCCGCTGTCGATGTTGGACAACGTTTGTTGTTGGGCATCGTACGCATATGTCCATACCCATATCGGGCTTCCAAATCTCAGGAGCCTCTCAAGAGCCACTCGGGACAATCCCAGTAACCTCTCAGGAGATTCTCGGGACCCTGTCGGCATCCTAGGGCTGGTGGGAATTCTCACAGGCGTTGCTTCTGCCAACACCGTTTGCGATCAGCGAATCCCCGGGGGGCTGCCCTGTGTTCGCTCGGGTGATGTCGAGGAGCAGGGTGAGGCGATCGAGTGTGGGAGGATGGCGAGGCGGATGTTGCGTGGCCAGCCCAAGTTCTATGGACTCGCTAGCACGTGCAATAGAAACACGATTGCATCTTGGGCAGCACCCCCTCCCATCCTCACACCTCCTCGTCCCCCGCATCCCTCCCGTCCCATTCATTGCCTCACTGTCCACACTGCATCCCCTTCCCTCACTCGCTCCTGTGCTCACGACCCCGCTCTGCCTCGTCACGCCTGCTCGTTATCTCGGCAATCCTCTGCCTCATCCTCGTCACCTCTCCCTGCGCCAAGGCGTACGCGCGATTTCTACAGCTGGATGCCGCTGACGATCGCTGGGGGCAGCTGGTGCTTCAGTGCCGCGTAAGGCGTCTCACCCTGTTCAATGTTGCACCACTGCCCCCGCGAACGACATGGAGGAGGAGTGAGAGGGGGGAGGATACGTAAGGAGCGAGGAGGAGAACGAGGAGCAGGAACGAGGCAGACCAGCAGATGCGGATAGCCAGCGAGGAACTGATCTTGGTCGTTACCTCTGATAGCCACGGCATAGTCTCTGTAACTGTTCCAGCTGCCCTTCTGAGAAGCAGTCACACCTCACGAGGACTGAAAAAAGCCCACCGCAAGCCCCGATATTTTTCACGCCACGAGTGCCGGCGCAGGCCGGGGCCCGCGGCGGCGGTCCCCGCGGGACCCGCGCCCAGAACTCCGCCAGGGCCAGACCCTCCTCGGGCCCCCCCCCCCGCGCGCCCCCGCGAAGTCGCGCCCCCGGGGACCTCTGGGTCAGAGGAGGACAAGGTGCCGATGCCGCTATCCTTCCCGCGTGCTCGCTTTGTTGGGCCTCCTTGCGGCGCCCTCGTCGCCACGGAGACGAGGGTCGATGCAAGCGGGGGTTGGCACCACAGCGCCGGATCCTGCGGGATCCTGCGGAGCCAGGGCTGCATGGACCCAGGTTGGTGCGCAGGATCCTGCAGGGTCCTGCAAGGCCTGACTGACCCGGATTCACACACGCACACGCGCACACACACACAGACACGCAAACACACACACACACACGCACACACACACGCTCAGACACGCAAACACACACACACACACACACACACACACCACACACACACACACACACACACACACACCACACACACACGACCGGGCTCCTGCGGTCCTCGTTGTCGCCTCTGTTGGGAGGACCTCGTCGCCACGGTTGGACTCGCCTCGAAGTCCCGGTCGGAGCGCACGAGAGGCCCGTGGAGCAGCAGCATCGGTGTCTTTGGGCTCCTGCGGGGCCCCCCCATGCTGCGCTCGCGCTCAGGCCAGCGCAGGAACCCGCCGCTGGTGCCCCCGGCCCTCTTTCTGGCTGCGCGCAGACCCCCGGGCCAGCGCCACCGCGCGGGCCCATGGCCAACTCCAGTGCGCGCGCGGCCTGTGCAGTGGAGGCCCATGCCAAGAAACACCCTGCTCGCCTCCAGGGTGCCCTGGGTTTCTTAGGAGGGGAAAAACACACAGACACAATTAATCGGCGATTCTCCAGAAAATATGGGAAGTGGTGGGGCAGACAAAAACCCAGAAAATATGGGGCATCCTTTTATTTGCGTGTATTGATCTGTGCTTCCCAGGGCCCCTTCAGTTTCTTGGGTGCCGGCGGCTCTGCTCTGGAGAGCGCGGCGTGCCCGCGCCAGAAATCGGTTGGCGCCCTCGGGTCTCGGGGTTGGGTTTCCTGTGGAAGGTTTCTGGCGGCGCGCAGAGGGGGGTAGGGGGAGGGGGGAAGGCTTCTTAGAAGCACCCCTGCTTCTTAGAAGGCGCGGGCCTTCTCTATAGACGTAAGGCCGAGGCCTTCTAAGAAGCAGGGTGTTTCTAAGAAGCCTTCCCCCTACCCCCTTTTGCGCACCTCCAAGGTTTCTGGCAGTCGGGCACCATGGACCCTCGCGAGTCGAGCTCCCTCGCGTCTTGGGATCGAGGGCCTCTCCTCCAGCCGTCGGAAAGGGATCCGCTCGGGAGGCCCAAGTGCTCCGGCCATGGGGTGCCGTTCGTGCTCGTGCGCAGGCGCCCTCGGCCGGGGAGGTTCGAAGAAGAACTAACGCCATACATCGGGGGCCCATGCCAAGACACACCCCGGTTGCCTCCAGGGTGCCCTGGGTTTTTTGTTGTTCGATGGTTTCGCTGTGGACAGCGTGACGTTCCCACACCAAAAGTCAGTGGACGCCCTGGGGTCACAGGGTTGGGTTTATTGTGGAAGGTTTCTTGTGGTCGGGCCCCCACTGTAAACATAAACTTGTGGTTCTCCGCGCGGATTTCTTGGATCCGCGCTGGACCCCCCCCCCGGCGGCGCCTCTGGCGCCGCCCCTGGCGCGCTCCGCGCGCCAGGAAGGGGGGCCCAGCGCAGATCCGAGAAATCCGCGCGGAGCGCCAGAAGTTTATGTTTGAAAGAGCGCGTTCTGTGGTCGCTTGGAGGGGGGGGGGGTTGGACCGGGACCCCCCCCCCACCCCCCCATTCCTCCCCTGCTTCTCCTCTCTCCCTCTCCTCCTTCCAGCGCCTGCGTCGGCGGCTGGCGGCGGCGGCGGGGACGGCGATTTCCTTTTCTGGGCCGGCGCCGGCGCCTGCGGCGCCGGGCGGCGGCGGGGAGTGTCGACGAGGACGACGGAGGTGGTGGTGCTGGTGCTGGTGCTGGTGCTGCTGCTGCTGCTGCTGCTGCTGCTGCTGCTGCTGCTGCTGCTGCTGCTGGTGCTGGTGCTGTGGTGGTGGTGGTGGTGGTGGTGGTGGTGGTGGTGGGTTGTGGTGGTGGTGGTGGCGGTTATGGTGATGGTGATGGTGGTGGTGGTGTGGTGGTTTGTTGTCGTGATGGTGGTGGAGGTGAAGGTGAAGGTGAAGGTGAAGGTTGAAGGCGAAGGTGAAGGTGAAGGTGAAGGTGAAGGTGAAGGTGAAGGTGGGTTGTGGTGGTGGTGGTGGTGGTGGTGGTGGTGGTGGTGGTGGTGGTGGTGGTGGTGGTGGTGGTGGTGGTGGTGGTGGTGGTGGTGGTGGTGGTGGTGGTGGTGGTGGTGGTGGTGGTTTGTGGAAGTGCTGGTGGTGGTGGTGGCGGTGGTGATTGTGGTGGTGTGGTGGTTTGTGGTGGTGGTGGTGGGTTGTGCTGGTGGTAGTGGTGGTGGTTATGGCGGTGGTGGTGGTTGTGTGGTACATCGTGGTGGTGGTGGTAGTGGGGGTGGGTTTTTGTGGTGGTGGTGGTGGTGGTGATGGTAAGTTGTGGAACTGGTGGTTGTGGTGGTGGTGGTGGTGGTGTTGTGTGGTGGGTAGGTGGCGGTGGTGGGTTGAGGCGGTGGTGGTGGTGATGGTGGTGGTGGCGGTGGCGGTGGTAGTGGTGGTAATCGTCGCTGCGTCCCCGCCGTCGCCGGCGCCGGAGAGGGGGGGGTTTGACCCCCCCCCCGCGGGTTGCCTCTGGTCATCGTCGCTGCGTCCCCGCCGTCGGCGCTGCTCGCGGCCGCCAGCGCCGGCGCCGGCGCCGAGGGGGAAGGGAGGGGGGGTTTGAACCTCCCCCCCCCTTGGGAGGGGGGGGTGTTCGGGAGGGGAGGGGGGCCTTGAGGGAACGGGAGCCCCCTTGGTTTTGGTCGACGGCGCTGAGTGCTGGGGTGGGGGCCCACCCCCCGGTTCGAAACGCGCTGCCGAATGCTCCCACAGCAAGCGCCCGTGAAACGCGCTCTCTCGTTTGTTTATCTCGTTCTCCTCTGCCTCCAGAGACGGGATGGGGTGCGCTGGAGTCCAGCGATCCTCCGAAGCTGAGAGCATGGGAAGAGGACGCCGCGTCCTGCCAGAAAAAGCAGCTCCTTCCACCCCCAGGGGCCCGGAGTCCCGCTAGAGATCGCCAGGACGCCCGGACGTATCCCGAACCGCATGGAAACGTTGGGAAACGCTGCGCCCTCGGTTTTCGACAATCGAAACTGATGACAACGACCGTTGTACCCATCGGTCGTGTTGAAAGGAGGTCTTTCTGGAGTCCCAAATTCCAGTCCACGTCACGCGCATTCCTACTTGAATGATCGAGTGGCTTCACCTGTTTTCCGTCATCTTTGGGGGGCGGGCGAACACCCAATCTATTTTCAACGTTCTCTTACTTCATGTTTCTACCTAATTCTTCCGACCAATGGGTATAGCTTCTCTTCCGCCGGTTGCAGGACCCGAAGGACCAGTGGGAGGATCTCTAGGTTGGCGGCATGCATAGTTTTCCTCGTCCCCTCTGTTTCCTCTCTCCAGAACTCAGGAGGGGGAAACAAGATACAGACACAATGAAATGTCGACTTCAAGAAAATATCGTAAAATATGAGGAGTGGGAGGAAGACGAAAATCCATAAAATATTGCAAATATTGAGAATTCTGAGATTTGTGTGTACTCATTTGTGTTCTCTTGGGCCCCTTCAAGAACTAGCCCCTGGATCTCTTCCGCCTCCCTCGAAAGCCGGCCCCTGTTCCCCTCCTCGTCTCATCCTTTGGCGTCCTGGGTTGTTGAGTGTACAGGGGAGGCCCATGCCAAGACTCACCCTGCTTGCCTCCAGGGTGCTCTGGGTGTCTTGGGTTTCGATGGTTTTGCTATGGAAAGCGTGACGTTCCCACACCAAAAATCAGTGGACGTCCTTAGGTCTTAGGGTTTGGTTTCTTGTGCAAGGTTTCTTGTGGACTGGCCTGCACTGTAGCTCGGCGCTTCCTGCTCAACACGTTGTCATTATTTTCCGCCTCCTCCCCCACCCCTTCAAAAACCAGCCCCTGGACCTCTCCTCGGGCGCAGTTGGGCCAGCATCTGGAGGCGGTCCAGACGTGGTTAACGAGGGCGCTCCAGGAGGTCCACAAATAACCCAAAAAACAGAATACGTTGATACTTCGATCTTGGAGTATCCTCCTGCACCAACTCCTCCTTCGTCTCTCTGAAGTCGGTCATTTCCCCCCCTGCCCTCGAACCCAGGCCAGGCAGCATCAGGGTGCAGCCTAGCACGCTCGAGGAAAAGGACTGGCCCAGCTCCCTTCGCATCGACCCCAACTTCCAGGACGGGCCGCTTTCAGTTTCTCGACGGGTAATCGAGGTGACAGATGGAGTCGGGGGAGTGAATCCATGCACCGACTTGAGTTTTCCAACGTTGATCGGACCTCGAAGGAGCCAACTTCCTTGCGAAGGGGAGGGCGTAGAGCATTAGCACTCGCGCGCTCCCCTCAGGGCGCCGTTGGGCGCTGCTGCGCTCGCATCCCTTCGAAGACGTGCGAAGCGTTACGGTCGGACCGAGGAACGAGATCGAGGTCGGCTCGGAGAGGGTAACCGAATGTTCTGTTTGAGGTGTTTTGGCCGGCGGAGGGCCTCGTCTTCTCTTGAAGGATGTGCTTCCGTCTTGGGTCCAGCCGTGCTTCCGCCTATGGACGCATCAAGGACGAATGCTGCTGGACGATGTGGTGCTTTTCGGGGGGGGCCTCCGGGCGCGCCCTCGTCGCCACGGCTGGATCGACGCGCAAGCTCTGGCTGGATCGATTTGGAAGCAGGGGGGCCCACACCTCTTGGCGAATCGAAAGGTTCGTGCCCGGTACTCTGGCGCCAGCGCTGGCATCCAGAAGGCCCCAGGATCGTCAACCTATTGCGAAGGATCGTCAAGAGCGACTCAGGATCGTCAACCACTGCCCCGCAGCCGCTTCCTGGGCCCAGGATCGTCAAGGGCGGCTCAGAATGGAAGTCACAGCCCGGGGGGCTCGGGGTCGAGGTCTCTGGGGGCTGGCGACCCGAAACAGGCCGATGTGTCGGCGGGCTGGATGTGGCTTCTGCCAGGGCGATGGGGCTGTGGTGGGAGGGGCAGTGCAGAGGAGCGGTAGGGCTGAGGGATGGACGGAGTGGTTGAGGGAGCAGGAGGGACAGCAGGGCAGAAGAGCTGGAGGAGCAGGAGTAGGAGGAGGAGCACCAGAGCAAGCCCAGAAGGCACTGCCGCTGCTGCAGAGCGTAGCCCCCGCCCCCAAGAAGTTGTCTGCGGACGACCTGTGACGCACCGTACCCCGTTGGCGTCTCCCGAGGCGTCGTCGATCTTCGACCCAGGAATGGTACGGTGCATAGCTTGTTCGAACCTCAGGCCAGAAAAATGATGCACCGTACCACGTTGGGGCAGGGCCTGAAAGGAGTCCAGACCAGACACGTTACGGTGCACTGGCGCCTTTCTCGCATAATGGAAACCCATGCCAAGAAACACCCTGGATGCCTCCAGGGTGCCCTGGGTGTCTTGGGTGTCGATGGTTTTGCTGTGAAAAGCGCGACGTTCCCACACCAAAAGTCCATGGACGCCCTGGGGTCACAGGGTTGGGTTTATTGTTGAAGGTTTCTTGTGGTCGAGCTCCTACTGCACCCGAGGGAGTTTGTCCTCACGCGTACGCACGTGGCGCGTGGCTGCTCTTTGTCGTGGCGGCGAGCGCACGCAGGAAGGGTGAGGCCCCCCCGGGGGGGCTTACCACGCGCGCGGGACACAGGAGTGCTGGAGCGGTCCTCCTCCCTCCTGCCTCCTCCCTCCTCACTCCTCACTCCTCCCTCCTCCCTCCCCCTCCTTCTCCTCCTCCTCATCCTCCTCCTACTCCTCCTCCTCCTCATCCTCCTCATCCTCCTCATCCTCATCCTCATCCTCATCCTCCCTCCTAGCTCCCCCTCCTCCTCCTCCTCCTCCTCCTCTTCCTCCTCCTCCTCCTCCTCCTCTGGGGTCCTGCCATGGGCGGCGCGGAAAGGCCAGATCAGTCCGGGGCCCCGCAACCATGCAAACGCATTGCGGAGCATCACATTCGAGGGCGAAGGGAGGAGGGGCGAGGAGGAGGAGGAGGAAGAGGAGGAGGAAGAGGAGGAGGAAGAGGAGGAGGTGGAGCTAGGAGGGAGGATGAGGAGGAGGAGGAGGAGGAGGAGGAGGAGGAGGAGGAGGGGGAGGAGGAGGAGGAGGAGGAGGGGCGAGGAGGAGTAGGAGGAGGAGGAGGAGGAGGACGAGTAGAGATGGAACAACTGACGAATTCAGAACAGCAATTACTTCCATAACATAATCTCCACAAGCCAGGATGAAGGATCAGATTCAGAATCCAGGATAAAGCGCTCGGCCTCTCCGATAAACACAATCTCCACAAGTCCAGCACTGGAGTCGGCTAGAGGAGGAGGAGGAGGAGGAGGAGGAGGAGGAGGAGGAGGAGGAGGAGCAGGGGGGAAAGGGAGGCGGAGGAGGGATTCCCACCCCCTTCTGCTAAAGATGATCCGTTTTGGGGAGAGATGTTGCATGTTTCCTCGCCTTCTCATCCTCCTGCTGCTCCTCCTCTTCCTCCCTCCCCTCATCGGCGTATTTCAGGGTGCCACCCGAAGAGCAAAATAGTGACCATTGAAAAATTCAGAGGAGGAGGAGGAAGCGGGAGGAGGAGGAGGAGGAGGAGGAGGAGGAGGAGGAGAAGGAATAGGTGGAGGAGGAGGAGGAGGCGGGAGGCTGTGGGGCAAAAGGAGGAGGGGAGGCGGAGAGTGTGGATGGGGAGACGAAAGAGGGACGGGAAGGGGAATGTGGATGATGGAAGGAGGATGAAATGAGTGAGCATGTTTAAGAGGACCCCACTCCAGGCTTCCTGCGTTGCCTCGGCAGGAATCCGCTTCGGGATTGATGTTGTGTGTTTGCGTTCATGGCTGACCGTCGTACAAGTATAGATGAAAGCATACGAGCTTCTCGGATCCCTGGGATGGCTGACGCTGGCCCCCGGCCTCGCCTGTCTGGAGAGTTCGTCCGCTCCGACGGTTAATTCCCTAGCAGCCGTGCCACCAGAATTCTTCAGCGGCTGCGTCTACCCCGCCGATGATCGCCGGACATTCCTACTCTAACAAGCCATGGGTTATTTATATGGTGTAGCATATTGTTGTTTCGGTTTGCCTGAAATTTCGATTATGCGGATCATGTTCTAAAACCCGTGAAAAGTACCGTGTGCTGCGATGGCCGCCTGTACTAGATCCCGAGAAGCAATGCTTGCCGAAATGGTTACACGCCCAAAGTTCGATCGAGCCCTAAGGGTCTAAGGACGAGCACTGGAGGGACAAGAAGGGGGAACCCAAGGATGGAGGAAAGGTTGTATCACTCTGTCCTTTCGCCCTGGCCTCGTCCTCCCCCCTGTCCGCCTCATTCGGCCCACGATGTAGGGCAGCACAGGCAGGACGGATGCTCGTGCTCACCCCATTTCAAGTTGGTCAGCGGGCGTAGGGGGTTCTCTCTTCTCTGTCACGGCAGCAACCGGTTGGGTGTCTGCCAGGAGGAAGGACCAGAAACGATGCTCGAGCTGCGTTGCAGTACCCTCCCAGTAGTTGCGCATGGTTCGTCGTCCTTTCTCCCACCCACCCGTCTCCCCGCACTCAGTCCTTGTTCCCCGTCTCCCCCCCCCTCGTCCTGGGCGAGGTCCTGGAGGAGGAGGAGGAGGAGGAGGAGGAGGAGGAGGAGGAGGAGGAGGAGGGAGGGGGGAGAGGGAGGAGGGAGGAGGGTGGGCGAGGTCCTGGCAGGGATTCCTGGGACCACGGCCTCGCCCACCTGGTCTTAACAAGCTGGGCCCGGACGGTGTCCGCAGCGGTGGTCGTCTGTTCGCTCGTCCATCGGACGAGGAGAACGGCGCAGGAGACCCGCACGGAGCTTGACACACATACTCCAGATTTCGTAATAAAAGGGAGGGGGTCTGGAGCCTCCAAGACAAGCCATTTCAGACCCCCCCCCGTGGGAGAACCCTCCAAAACACCGTCCCCAGACCCCCCCAGGCCCTCCAAGATAGCCTGGAAGAGACCCCCCCCGAAATGAGACCCCCTCCCTTTTATTACGAAATCTGGAGTACCCACACAGCGTGGCGTGGCACCGCGCGAGCCACGCGCCACTTTGGGGCGCCCCGGCTCCAGCCGTCGCGCGCTCGAACCTCTGCGGATTCCCCCTTTCACCGCCCATGTGTCGTGGGTATCCCTTCCATCCGCATCCGCGCCCCGTCGCTAGAGTTCAGTGGGGCATGTCCCTCTACAGGAGGACTATTCCAGAGAATCCTTCAGATCCACATGGGGGTGGCGGAGACGGGGGGGGGCGATCAAACCGTCGTTGAGTGAGCCAAGGGGCGCTCAAGACGCAACCAAACGCGTTCAAAATGCAACCAAACGTACGCGGCTGCAGAACAGTGGCGGTTTCAATTGTTCTGAACCAGACGACCTTCTTTGTCTCAATGTGTCCTAGAGCTTCTCTCAATTCGGGTCGCCCTCACGATAGTATATTTCAATGTCTCTTCATTCCTTTCTCAATCTTCCCAGTTCCTCTCAATATAGTACCATCAGAAACGCTACTACACCATAACTTTGTGACGGGCCGTTGCTCTCTCTCAAAAAACCTCTTCGCGATGTCCCCAGGCGCGCCCCCCCCCCTCGACGCCACCCCCAGGTGGCACGAGAATAAGGAAAAAATAGTACGGGGAAGATGTTTCGACTACTTGTTGCCATTGTTGAGCATTGTTTGGCTATTTGTGCATTTCTCCTTCAAAATCCACCTGCGGGAGGACACGCCCGACCGAACACTGGAGGCATCTTGGATGGGGTCCGAGTAGATGGGGTCGGAGGACCTCGCCGCATCGCCGATACGTCGGCGATGCACTGGCGACGTCGGCGATGCCTTGGCGACGTCGGCGTGGAGGAAATTGGGCCCCAAGTCGAGCGGCAGCGCCGATGCAGCGGCGATGAGGCGCGCTCCTCCGACCCCATCTACCCATCGGTCGTTGAAAGTAGGTATTTTTGGATTCCCAGATTCCAATCTACTTTGAGCGCCTTCCTACTTCAAGAGTCGAGGGGGTTTCCCTCTTCCCTCCTCTTCAGGAGGCGGGCGGAACCCCAATCTATTTCCAACGCCTTCCTACTTCATGTTTCTACCTACTTCTTCCGACCGATGGGTACTCTGGCCCCATCTGGGAGGCCTAGACGCACTCGATGCTCAGGACAACTCCACGATGGAGTGGCTCTTGGAGGACGATGCCGACGTCGTTGCCGCCTCAGCTTGGAGCCTCCGTCGTGAGCAGGAGGCAGCAGGACGGGAAGCAGCAGCGTCGTTTTCGGTCCCGATCAGTAGGTCGGCTTTTGCAAAGTCAAGGGCATCTCTGTGCCCTGTCTAGAAGACCGCTTACTCCAGATTTCGTAATAAAAGGGAGGGGGTCTGGACCCTCCAAGACAAGCCGTTTCAGACCTCCCCCGTGGGAGAACCCTCCAAAACACCGTCCCCAGACCCCCCAGGCCCTCCAAGATAGCCTGGAAGAGACCCCCCCCGAAAGTCGACCCCCCTCCCTTTCTTACGAAATCTGGAGTACGCTTAGAGCACAGGTCTCTCTCGGAGGAGACCGGTACCAGTTCCACCTGGGAAGCGACGAGGAGGAGGAGGAGGAGGAGGAGGAGGAGGAGGAGGAGGAGGACCAGGAGGAGGGGTGACCGAAATGGGGGGTGAAGAAAGGGGCCCTGCCCTCTCGGGCATCCTCTGCAACCAGGCCCGACTGCAGCAGCGCCTCCGGGGCGCAGCGGGCGTGCCGCCTTCCGGGGCTGGTTCGCGGGAGCAGCAGGCACACGCTTGCGAGGAGGGGGCGGCCTCTCCGGCTGCTCGTCCTCGTCAGCTTGACTCGCCTTGGTCCCTCTCGTCGTCCGCGTCATCCTTCCCGTCCCCCTCGCCGGCGTCCTCACCGCTGCTCGTCTCGTCCGTTCCTCTTCCTCCTCCGCCTCCCGCCCGCGCGCGCGCCCGTTCCTGCTTCTCTCCTGCCCTTTTCCCATCCCCGTCCGCCTCTCTTTCTTTCCCTCTTCTCTCCCCTCTCCCCTATGTCGACGGCGAGCGAGGGGGGAAGTGAGAAGGAGAGGGCCTTCTCAGAAGGCGGTGGGACATCTCAGAAGCCCTCGCGCCTTCTGAGAGGTTTTCTGCGTCTTCGGGGAAGGCTTAGGACATTTCTCGGAAGGCCGGGGGACTTCCGAGCCTTCTGAGAAGGCCTTCTCTTTCTCACTTCCCTCCCGGGCTCGCCGCCGACCATCTCCTTCTCCTTCTCACCGTCTCACAGCCGAGGAGGCCCTTCATCAAGGGCATAAAAAACGCCCCTACCCTGGTTTACGAGGCGCTGTGCGCTGAAACTCTTGTGGGCTGACAGGGTAAACCTTGCATGATGTGCCGCGTCCTGGCGGCTCTAGGCTTTGGGGGTTCCCAGGAGGTTTACAGACCACGCATTTGTAACCCAGGGTAGGGTCGTTTGTTCATCCCTCAACTTCAGCATGCCGTTCGAGTTTAGCGTTGGGCGTCCCTTCTTATCTTCCCTTGCCACAGCGCCCGAGCACCGCCGCGTGCTCTCCTCGTCGTAATGATTTGGCGCAGCGTACCGCCGCGTGTTATTCTGATCAAGGAGGAGGAGGAGGAGGTGAAGGGGGAGGAGGAGGAGGAGGTGAAGGTGAAGGGGGAGGGCGAGGAGGAGGAGGAGAAGGAGGTGGAGGAGGAGGAGGAGGAGGAGGAGGACGAGGAGGACGAGGAGGACGAGGCAGGGGAGAAGGAGGAGGGGGGGAGGAGGAGGAGGAGAAGGCACGAGGAGAAGGCACGAGGAGGGGAGGGGGGAGGAGGAGGAGGAGGAGGAGAGGAGGAGGAGGAGGAGGAGAGGAGGAGGAGGAGGAGGAGGCGGAGGAGGAGGCGGAGGAGGAGGAGGGGGAGGAGGAGGAGGGGAGGAGGAGGAGGAGGAGGAGGAGGAGGAGGAGGAGGAGGAGGAGGAGGAGGAGGAGGAGGAGGAGGAGGCGGAGGAGGAGGAGGAGGCTTGTGGCCTGTGTCGCGCGGGCCGCGGAGCACCCCTGGCGGGTTGGGAAGCGCATCAATCATGGTGAGTGCGTGGATCCACCTCTAAGGAGGAGAAGGAGGAGGAGGAGGAGGAGGAGGAGTGCCTCCGCCACGAAGACCTCGATCGTCGGAATCTCGAAGAAAGAGCGGCATACACAGAAACTGTTGGCGCTCCGCGCGAATTTCTTCGATCCGCGCTGGAGCCCCCCGGGTGGCGCCTCCGGCGCCGTCCCTAGCGCGCTCCGCGCGCCAGGGAGGGGGGTCCAGCGCAGATCCAAGAAATCGGCGCAGAGCTTCTGAAGTTGATGTGTATGCCGATGTTTTTTCTTCTAACGCAGACCTCGATCGTCTGAATCCCCCCCTCGCCGCGTGCGCCGGAGGTCGTCACGGCCCTGATGGTCAGGGAGCTCGGCCCTTGCGCCGATCCAGAGGTGTACGGGCCGCTCGCGGCACGAGTGCGCGAGGACGGTCGCCTGGGGGCGAGGGCCGCGGCTGGTGGACCTCCTCCTCCTGCTCCTCCTCCTCCTCTTCCTCGCCTTGCTCCTCGTCCTCCTCTCAAGACCCAGGCTTTGGGGATACTCTAATGGGTCCAATGCCGGCCATCCTGCCTGAGAGGTGCGACCGACGTGGTCGCGAACGCGCCCGTGGGATATCCCTTGGCGCCTCCCCTTTGGGAGGCCAAAATGCCAGGCCTGCCATATCGTGATCATCGCGGGTATCTCATTCTTACAGTCGGGCCCCTGAAGAAGGAACCCTTTTCGTTGGGGAGGGGCTCCGCGTTCCTTAAGTGTTTCACAGCTTGCCTCAGGCTTTCCTTCTGTTTTCGATCGGAAGTCGAAGTTTAACTTATGGAAAAAAAGGCCTCGTTCCTCATTTAGGGTTCCTTAGTTCAACGCCCCGACTGCACTTCGCAGAACAGTATATTTCAGAGGCCACGCAAATCTGGACGCGAACGGGCCCGTGTAATACCCAGCCGGCCGCTCCACTTCGGGGGGGTCCAATGCCATGCCTGTTACATCGTGGCGACCACGGGCCCGTCAAACGAGATTCGTCTACTCCAGATTTCGTAATAAAGGGAGGGGGGTCTCATTTCGGGGGGGGGTCTCTTCCAGGCTATCTTGGAGGGCCTGAGGGGGTCTGGGGGCGATGTTTTGAAGGGTTCTCCCACGGGGGGGGTCTGAAATGGCTCGTCTTGGAGGGTCCAGACCCCCTCCCTTTTATTACGAAGTCTGGAGTACATCCTAAAATGGCAATTCGACCTAGGAGTTCCCACCACTCTGGGCACCGGGCCCACGTAACACCCCCCTGACGACTCCACCTGGGGATGCCCGAGCGCCCTGCTTGGTACATCGCGGCGATGGGGATCTTAAGAGCGACGCGATTACTTCCAATGAGGGTCGTTAAGTTCGAAAGGTCCCATCTGTTCGGACGCGGACTGGCCCGTGTAATACAATTGACGGATCCCCCTTGAGGGCCAAAATGCCAGGCTTGCTACATCGCGACGATCAAAAGAAAACAGGCCCAGTTCCCAAAGCAGCAATTATATTTGAAAGGCTGTCCCCACCACTGTGGGCGCGAACGGGCCCGTGTAATACCCCCCTAGCGGATCACCACTGGGAGGCCCAAGTGCCATGCTTGTTCTATCGCGGTTGTCACGGAGCTCTAAATGCTCGCTAATCCTATCTGCGAGGCCCCACCAATCTGAACGCGAATTAACCCGTGTAATACCCCTTGACCGCTCCCTCGTGGGAGGCCCAAGTGCAATGCTTGCTACATCGTGTTGAGTCTGAGTACGAATGAGTCTGAGCACGAGCGAGTCTGTGTATGATAAGGCTGTGCGTACGTCAGCCTCAATATGAGCAAATACGAGTGGGTCTGAGTATAAGCGACGTTCGCATGGGCGGGTCTACTTATGAATTGGTCTGCACTCGAGGGAGTCTGGAAATGACTGTGTCTGTGTGTGGGTGAGTCTGCGTATGAGTGGTATGAGTCTTACTTAGGCTGTGTTGACAGTGTGTGTGTGTGTGATCGAGTGAGCCCCAGTGTGTCTGAGTATGACTAAGTCTGAGTATAAGCGAGTCTGAGTATGAGGGAACCTGGATGTGAGTCAATGAAGGAGGAGGCGGGAGTAAGAAGGTGTGGGAGGGTTGAGGCGGGAGGAGTGTGAGGCGGGGGTGTATCTCTGGGTTGAGTTTGTGTTCGACGTGGGCCCCAGGAACTCCCAACGAGTTTTATGAGGCCCTCCGGACCTTCTGGCGCAACGGACTAAAAATCGGGGGGGGGGGGCGTCGAGGCACCATCTTGTTGCTGAGGGGGGATGGGGGCGAGGCGGAGCCCTCCCTAAAACAACAACGGATAGGAGTTTTCCACGGGGGGTCCCGAAGTGTGTTGACACCGTGATAGTCGGGCCGTTGTTTGTGCTTGGTGTTTCTGTGTATGGCGTCCGCAGAGAAAGCAAACGCGATCGGGTCACATAGATTTAATGGGGCGGTGCGAGAAGGAATGGGAGGAGGGAAGGGAGGAGGGGGAGGAGGAGGAGGAGCGAAAGAAAGACGTACACGTACATGAGTCCACGCTGGTTTCGAAAGTGCGCATTGCGCGGACATGCGTATCACGAAGGCGGGTCTCGCCGACTGAGGGGCAGTATTCAAGTGCGTGGTTGGGCACGTAAATCCTTCAATGCTCCCCAGAGGGAGAGGAGGAGGGGGAGGAGGAGGAGGAGGAGGAGGAGGAGGAGGAGGAGGAGGAGGACGAGGAGGACAAGGAGGACGAGGACGAGGAGATGGAGGAGATGTAGGAGATTGAGGAGGAGGAGGAGGAGGAGGAGGAGAAAGCGGGAGCAGCGAGGAGGAGGAGAGAAGGAGGGAGGAGGGGGAGAAGGAGGAGGGAGGAGGGAGGACGGAGGAGGAGAGAAGGAGGAGGGGGAGGGAGCAGGGAGCAGGGAGCAAGGAGGAGGAGGAGGAGGAGGGGGAAGAGAAAGAGCAGGAGAAGGAGGAGGAGGAGGCGGAGGGAGGAGGGAGGAGGGAGCAGGGAGCAGGGAGCAGGGAGCAGAATAGAGAGGAGGAGGAGGAGAAGGAGGAGGAGGAGGAGAAGGAGGAAGACGAGGACGAGGAGGGAGGAGAGAGAGAGATGGGAGATGGGAGGAGGAGGAGGGAGGAAGGGAGGAGGGAGGAGGGGGGAGGGGGAGGAGGAGGAGGAGGAGGAGGAGGAGGAGGAGGAGGAGGGGACGAGGACGAGGACGAGGACGAGGACGAGGAGGAGGAGGAGACGAGGGAGGAGGAGTGGAGGACGAGGAGGAGGGAGCAGGGAGCAGGGAGGAGAAGGCCGAGGCACGAGGCACGAGGCACGAGCACAAGGCACGCGGCACGAGGCACGAGGCACGAGGCACGAGGAGACGAGGAGGGAGGAGGGAGGAGGGAGGAGGGGAAGGAGGGAGAGGAGGGAGAGGAGGGAGAGGAAGAGGAGGAAGGAGGGAGGAGGGAGGAGGGAGGAGGAGGAGGAGGAGGAGGAGGAGGAGGAGGGGGAGGAGGAGGAGGAGGAGGAGGAGGAGGAGGAGGAGGAGGACCAGTGGGAGCCCAATAATCATCAACGATGTTGGAATTCACCCTTCCTCCAAGCTTCCTCTTCATAGGCACCTACAACGGTTCATATCCATTGAGGGGTCTGCGTCGCTGGAAGACAACAGTGTGAAGATCCTGAAGCGTGCCAAAATATTGCACTCGGGATGTCAACGCCACGTATCAACCTGATTGCTGCGTCGTGATGATTCAGAATCGTATCAGAACGCCATGTTTGGGATTTAGCACAGCGAATCAACACAACTGTTGTGCCCGCGTAATCTTGCATCCTTCCAAAAGACCATTTCTGGTACGCTGATCACTGGAATCCGTGAGACTCTTGCCACATTTTCAAAAGGAACCGCCCTCAATCCGTGAAGCTCATGCAAACGTTTAAAAAGAACGCGCGCGGCGCAAAGGCGAGAGCCACATCCTGATCCGCCCTCAATCCGTGAAGCTCTGACAACTGTTTGAAACGAGTGTGCGCGGAGCTGAGACGAGAGCCACATGTTGAAAACCACCGAGGAGGAGGAGAAGGAGGAGGAGGAGGAGGACGAGGACAATACGAGGACGAGGACGAGGAGGAGGAGGAGGAGGAGGAGGAGGAGGAGGATTGGTGGGAGGAAGAGAGAAAACCAGGTTGAGGGAGGAGATCGACGCGGGGGCGCCGCCGCGTGGTCCGGCCAGGTCACCCGCAGGGGCCTGAGTCGCACTGGCTGCAGCTGCGGGCCGAGGACATGCCCCCCGCCGTGCACCTCGCCGCCGTGGACGACGACGATGACGTCGACGACGTCGTCTCGGAGATTTCTGGGCGTCTCCCACTGGTCGATGGTCTCCCGAGGAACAGAACATGACACAACCATGGACTTTGGGAGGTCCGCGCTGATTTGTTGCATGGGCTCGGGACCTCCCCCGCGCCCCCTGGCGCGCAGAACGCGCCAGGGGCGGCGCCGGAGGCGCCGCCAGGGGAGCCCAGCGCCGATCCAAGAAATCCGTGCGGAGTTCAGAGAAAGGCAAAGGACATACACCCTAACGTGGAGCACGCCTCCAGCGCCGATCCAAGAAATCCGCGCGGACCCCGCTCCTTTTCATGCGTGTGCAATGTGTTGTTCCTGGAGCCACGGCGGGCGCGATTCGTGGGAGCCTGGCGGGGGTGGGGCTCCGGGGGGGGGGGTTGGGTGGGCTCGTTTGGGGATGTTCTCGGGGCGGGGGCAGGGCGAGGTCGGCCCTCTGCCCTCCCTGCGCCTTCGTCCCCGAGGCACCAAAGATCGACAGCGAAGGCGCCGAAATAAGCACCATTTGGGGAATTTCGTCCTCCCGGCCTTCCTCCTCCCTCCTCATACCCCTTTTTCCTCCCTCCCTTTCCCCCCCCTCCTCATCCAGACCCTCCTCTGCGCCCATCCTTGCTGTCGCTCATCGGCGCTCGTTTCCGAGAAAGGACGCATGAACAACGCAGAGGTCCTCGGGAAGGGCGCGGGTATTTTGGGCCACTCCGTAGATCCACGTCGTGGAGCCTACTTGCGGCCCGGGTCCGCCGTGGCAGTGGAGGTTTTCGTTCCGCACGACGCGTTCTTCCCCGGCATGTGGCCATGTCAGCTCGAGGCTTTGATATTCTCAGCGAGCCCCGTGAAGACCGCTATGAGTATGCGTTGGTCCGCCCCCACAGTTACTCCAGATTTCGTAATAAAAGGGAGGGGGGGTTCATTTCGGGGGGGGGTCTCTTCCAGGCTATCTTGGAGGGCCTGGGGGATCTGGGGACGACGTTTTGGAGGGTTTTCCTTCGGGGGAGGTCTGAAATGGTTTGTCTTGGAGGGTCCAGACCCCCTCCGTTTTATTACGAAATCTGGAGTATGCGTTGACCCGCCCCCGCAGTTACTCTTGGCTGGCGATTCGCTATGGCAGTCCGATGGGTGGGAAAGCAAGCTCTGCAGTATGCCACTGCCGCTGGAACTGTCCAACGATTGGTTTTTCAGTCGTTCGTCGCCGTGGTCACCAATCCCGCCTTTCACAGGCGTCCGCAGCGGAAGCGGGCGTTCGGTCCATTCTCGCTGGCAAACAAGACTCAAGAGAAAGCACCACCGTGTTCGTCGGAAGGTCAGCAGCAACCGGCAACCAAGGCGAGCCCGTCAGCCATGAGTTTGCATTGGTTGGTGGTCAG